GTTTTCAGCAAAACTACAGCACAAAGTTATATACCATGAGTATTCACATTGTATTTGTCATAAAAGCCTGTATTATAAGGTCGTTAAGTTCTCCACTCTTCAGTTGCTGAAGCTAAATATAGCACTCATACATTGGTCGTTTTGTCCCAGTCCTGCTTCAAGGATTCATAAGTGAATTTGTCTTCTCCCTCCATTAGATGATACCTGAACTGATGTTATTGCGTACATTTTATAGACAGTGAGCATTATAAGTAATTGATCAATCTTTATCAACAGATGGTCCAAATGTGTACATGTACATTCAATCATTCCATTAATCCTATAATTACTTCATGTCTAACAATAGCTTATAATAATTATAGAGTTAAGTGAACCATTACTTAAGTAAACAGAGCAATGAGTAAACAACAAAAGGACATAGTAGCTAAACAAGTACATATCAACAGTATTAAACAAACATGAACTATGGAAACAATAACTCATTTTTATATTTGCTCATGATGATAGTTATTAATGACTTGATTTATGAATTTTATAAGTGATCCACACTCACTAATTTAAGAGACTGTTAAAAGTATATACAAGTTCATTATAATAACTGGAAACATGTCAAATGTACACAGTAAGGTGAACAGTATGAGATATCAATCATTGTTTACTATACTGTTCAATATAGCAGTCACTGTATAGTTTACATAATTTAATGTAGTATCATATGTATATTATATGTAGAGAGAAATTGTTAGTCATTTCTGAATACCTGGTGATTGTGTTAAGTGCTGGATATTATTAATTGTTTTACTGTAGTAGCAGAAAAGATGAACATTAACTAAGACTATCTAAGCCTGGTTTGGTATCTAAACTATCACATGATGTGGTTGGGCCATAGGGTGACCCTTTTGTTTAGATTATACTGAATGCAATGATGTCTCATAGAATGGTTCTTGTCTCTCTTCTTTCTCTTGTTCTAGTATATTCTGCTGCTGGTTTGGAGTGTAGGATCTATGTCAGTTCATCTCATGGTATCAACAATACCTCTTGTTGGACTGGAGGAGTTCAAACACCTTGTGCTACTATTGATCTAGCTATACAAGGAACTCCTACTCTACAATACAACTGTTCATCAGGTATCCTTATCAACCTGTCTCCTGGTACATATACACTAGACACTACTAGTCTACTAGAGCAACAGCTACTGAGGAATAATGTGAGTATTATTGGTATGAGGGATGGTAATAGATATGAAGAGGTTAGTATCACGTGTCTACATGTTTCGTCTTCTTCATATAACTGGTTGAGGTATATTGTATTTGAATGTGTTAGTCTTTATAATTGTAACAATGTTCCTGTTACATGTACTGAACCATCCTTTGATATTACTACACACAATGAACCAGTACTGGGGAATGAACCTCGTCCAAATTTACAATTAGACATAGACAACATTGATACATACATATCTTGTTTTGATAGTTACCAAAATGACAAATGTCAGTGTGATTATCTATCATTCCATGCTTCCATCATTGATACTAGTACTAATAAGCAATATGATTGGAAATATGATCTAAAAGCTTGTATTAGCATTAATTCCTCAATTAATCAAGACTGCTATACCATTTCACAACCTAACTGTGATTACTTCTCTGATGATGATAAATGCTATCAAGTGGAGAAATGTCTCTATCATTATATGAATTCTGATCCTATTGAAGTGTCACTGTATGTTGAAGCACTTGATATGACAGCTATTAGTAATGTGAATGTTACAATCAAATGTGGGCCCGCTGAGAATGAAAAATGCAATCCAATTAATACTTGTGACATAGATGATCCACCATACAAGCTTACTTGTATCAAAAATAACTTTCATAGTTGCTGTTATGACAACACTACAGAAGAGTATTACTTTGGGTGTGCATCAGACTGGGGAGTACCAATTAACAATCCTCTTACATGTTCTAAATGTGGCGAATATGGTTTACTGGTATTTATTGTAATAGAAATATTACCTATCACAATCATGGTATTATTAATAATAATATTTAATATACAACTAACCAATGGATCTATTAATGGAGTGGTATTCTATTCACAAATAATAGCAATAATTTTTTATCTTTATTATTATTACAACCATATTTATCATAATTATTATAACCGACTACCAGTACCACTATTACTTGAAATACCATGCAACATATTTAATTTAGATTTCACTATATTTTTTCATTATGTTATGTGTATATCACCTAATACACCACCATTAGGAGTAATTTCCTTTTGGTATGTGATAGGATTCTATCCATTGCTCCTCCTCCTCTTACTTTCTGTTTGGATAACATTGTATGATAAAGGTTACAAGTGTGTAGTATTTATTACTAGACCATTTCATTGTTGCATGGCTCGTTTCTGGAGTATGACTGGCATTGAACCATCTTTTACTCACTCTATAGCATCAATATATATACTCTGCTTCACTCAATTAGCTGTCACTTCCTTTAAAATACTTAGTTTTGCTCCTAAGAAAGAAACACTTGGTTTTAACAATACCAAATTCTCTTATGATATGAAGCAGGATTACTTTAAGGGGGTTCATGGTGCTGCTGGTTTCTTTGCAATCTTAGTATTATTGTTTCTGATTGTTCTACCAACTCTTTATATACTCCTTTATCCATTCAAATGGTTTCATAAGTTATTGGATTGTTTACATTTGAGGAAACAGCTACTGATATCACTGGGTGATGTGTTTACTGGTCCTTATAAGAATGGAACTGAGAATACTTATGATTATCGTTTCATGGCTGGACTATACCTACTGGCAAGAACAATCATTTTGAGTCAGTTCATTTATGGATATTATTTCATACTTTCAATACCAATTTCTCAAGCTTGCTGTTCCTTCTTACTAGCAGTAATAGTTATCATCTTTCGTCCCTTTAAAAGAAATATTCATAATTTTGCTGAATTTTTAATAATGTTTATAAGTATGGCATTTGGATGCATTGGCAGTGTTCAGTCATTTGTGTTTATTAGCACATCTGCACCTTACTTTGTTAATTATTATCGTATTATATTGTCAATTCTAGGAGCTGTGGTATCAACTACTAATTTTCTAGTTTTTGGTATCATTATAACAGGTTATATAATCTACCAGGTATACAAAATGATAAAATCATGTCATCGTTATCGTAAGAGGTACAATCCAGTGGCTAACAGAAATCAAGAAGAAGACTATCAGTCATTAGTTGGTGATGATGATGATTGGATTGCTGATTGTATGGAGAATCCACTTAATTATAAGGAAAAACATGTTTCTGGTAGAATGTATGATACACAAAAGGATCGTCAACCTATTGCTACTACAGCTGCTACTTATGGCAGTATTAACTAATAAGTAACTAATAATAAATACTCCTATATTATCTATTTATTTACTATTAGGTATATTTATTAGTTGTTTATAGTGATTTTTGTTATTATTATTATTATTATTATTATTTCTATTATTTTCCTCTTTTCCCCTATCTCCCTCTTTCTTCTTTCCCCTTTATAATTAATATAAGATACTTGAGATTTGTTTGTTTGTTATTAGATTTTAGCTGAATATTTCCTTTTTTGCTTTGTGTAGGCTCTTTTTGTTATAAAAAGATTTTGAAAATTTAAATAGACTTTTGAGAGTTAATAGTGTGCCATTCATTATTGCTGCACTGTAACACAATCATAATTAGTTTAAGCCAACATCAATAGATGATACCATTGACTATTTTAATAGCATTGAAAAATGGAGTATGGCTTTTGTCTTTAAAGTGAGGTAATGATAAATTCACAGCAGATCTCAAAATGCAACATAGACACTGTTTTGATTATTTGAGAACCTAGGACATGTTTTGTAAAAGACAATTTTGCTTGACATAAGAATGATAAAAAATTAAAATGCATCTCAAAGGTAATTTTCCAGTTCGTAATGAAGTATTGGAGGGATACTGTGCAGCCAAGTTTCCTGATGATATACCTTTGGGATGTACTGAGTTTGGAATCAGTAATTACATCGTGGTTGATGATAAGTGAGACAGGAATGTTATGCATAAATGTCATGGAAGAGTAGTTGTACTTGAGGCCCATTTTACAAGTAAAAATCCATGGATATTCTCTATATCAATTTCAAGATTATGTGGTTCTGAAATCATGCAAATTCCCAGAGAAATTTTGGTGATGAAAAGAGATTTATTTTGAGAGGTTGCATCATTCATTCCTGTGAGCATTTCACTGCTACAGTCATAGTCCATACTGCTATTATGATGGAAAGAAAATCTACATGAAGAAAAAATATTTATAGCATATAAT